AGACAACAGAAACAAAAATAGGTAATATTCACAAGGAAGTTGAGGATGTATATATATGTATATAATGTATATATTACATGAACTGTTAATCCAAAGTATATAAAAATGACACTGTCTGATTATGTATTAGAATCATGGAAAAGAAAAACTACAATAAAAATTATTATATATAAAAAAAGAAAATTCTTTTCACTTTTTTTTCAATTTTTAAATTTCTCAACTAAACATTTGAAAAAAATTCTTTAGAAATTTTTAAATTCTTAATGTTCTGAGAGGAAAAAAATAAAAAAACCGCAGAAAAAGGGACAGAGACTTAAAACGGGGAAGATAGTTATGAATTTTTCAAGACAGAGAACAAAAGGTCAAGAACTATCATATACTTTTGTAAACTGACACTTCGCAACAGGAAAATATTTAATTTTTAGAATTTTTTTATTTTTTGAGCAAACAAAGAAAAAAGTCATGGAAATAGAGACTGACACTATAATGACTTGCAAAGTGTGTCATATGTTTCAGATTATGCCCACAAAAGATCCAAGCTATGTATGTATCAAATGTAAACTACTTGAATTACTAGAAGTAAAGGATCTAAAGGCAACTCTAGCTCCTCAGAAAGTCAATGAACAAAGTGAGAAATCCCAACCTAAACAATAAGACTACATCAAAATAAAACACAATTGGGATCAAACAGCTTCTTAAAAAAATTAATGACCCCATATATGAACATAAAGAAGAAAACTGATACATCCAAATTGAACACAATAGGGAACAAACAGCTTGTGTAAAAAATGACCCTACATATGTACCCAAAGAGCAAGACCAATGGAAACATGTCACTTTTAGAAGAAACAACAACCAAGAGCAAAGCCCCTACTATCTACCCTAGCCCACTCCAATGAAGCTGAACTGAACAATTGATTTCATAGGTTTCCCCGGAAGAAAATATGCAGACACCTATAAACAGCATTCATCAATAGGTTCTAAAAAAGAGGCACAACCAACATTCCTGTAACAGGAAGAACAGTAGAACAGACTTCCCTAAGAAAAAAAAATGAATATTGGTGATAAGAGATTGAATTCTTAAGGGAACAGAAACTACCAGGGGTGAAATCCACTTACCTTCGCTACCGGTTCGCAAATGGGAGTGTGCGCATGTACACACTTACTTCATTTGTGCGCAACACCTCTGTGCATGCGCAGGACCTTCTGTGAATGCATAGAGCATCAAAAATGGGATGTGATAATGTCTGGGCAGGTGGGCAGAGTCTCCCACCACCGGTGCTACCAGTTCTCCCGAGCCAGATAGAATCAGCTGCATTTCACCACTGGAAACTATAATCTGCAGACTAGCCAGTCAATCTAGGAAGGTATATTGTCTCCCTGGAGCAAAAATCAAAGATGTAACTGAATACCTTACCAAAATAACCAACCCCACAGATTACTAGCCCTTTCTTCTCCTACACGTGGGGATCAATGACACAACAATGAATCTAAAAACTATCACAAGAGATTATGAACAGCTAGGGAAGAAATTTAAAAATTAGGAGCACAAGTGGTGTTTTCAGCTATACTTCCAACAAAAGACCAACATCCATTGATGGAGCAAAGGATTTTAGAAATGAACCACTGGCTTAAAAACTGGTCAACAAAATTTTGGCTTCCTAGACCATGGTCTGCATTACCTACATGAAAGGTTCATGGCAAGGGATGGAGTGAAGCTCATAAGAACTAGAAAGAATATATTTGGAAAACAACTGGCTCATCTTATCAAAAGGGCTTTAAACTAAAATTGAGGGGGGAGGGGGGCAATCTTCATGATCTTTAGAACCTAATTCCAAGCAAAAACCACTAGATACCCAATTATATAGGGAGGAAGGAAGTAAAGAGAAAAAAGAAATAAAAAAAAACATAATGAAGTAGAGAGTGATGGAACGGATGGAAATCCTAGTTACAAAGTAGAAGGTATAAGAAACATACCCAAGACAAATGAAGGACTCAAATGCCTATACACTAATGCTCAAAGTTTGCTCTTTCTAGTTCTTATGAGCTTCACTCCATCCCTTGCCATGAACCCTTCATGTAGGTATCATTCAAGCAGCCCACAATTCCTTCTATACTTTTTAGAATGAAGCCCTTTCTGAGCACCTTTTCAATATTTCCAATACGGGTCTTTTGCTCAGACAAGGTGTGCCCACTCCTGAAACAGTGTCACCAAGGGGGAACTGTTGCTTTAAATCCAGGCTGCAACAGCCCTCACACTGCTAAACCTGAGGCGGCTGCAGCTGAATTGACCCTGAGAAGGCAAAAGAGTGATATACAAACTCTGTTACCCACAGCTGCAGAAACTGCTGAGGATGTGCCAGAAGAAATGCTGATTGACCTATTTAATGCATTGCCAGAACCTGAGCAAGTTAATATTATTCAAAGATTGGATGATCTAAAAGAGGCTCTGACAACAACTCAATCTACAGCAAAGCCTTTATTTAATCTTTAATTTTTTTTTGGAGCACTTGGGAACTATCAGATGATTGGAAAAGAGCCGGTCTGGTTCCCATCTTCAAAAAAGGGGAAAAAAGCAGACCCAGGAAGCTACAGACCAATCAGCCTGACATCAATATCTGGGAAAATACTGGAAAAAAAATAATCTTAGGCCCAGTACTCTTCAATATCTTCATAAATGAGTTAGATGAGGGAGTAGAAGGGGAACTCATCAAATTTGCAGATGACACTAAGCTGGCAGAAATAGCCAACACCTCAGAAGACAAGCTCAGGATCCAAAAAGATCTTGACAGACTTGAACAATGGACCCTATCCAACAAAATGAAATTTAATGTGGATAAAAGCAAGATTTTACACCTGGGCATGAAAAACCAGGTACAAGTACAGATTAGGTGAAACCTGGCTCAAAAACAGTATCTCAACCATCCAACTAGTGAACCCAGAATAAGGAAACACTCTCAGGAGCTTTGAAATCCCGAAAGCAAAACTTTATTGTATACACCACTTTGGTATTGAAGAAACAAAACCAATTTTGGTTTTCCCATGCAAAGGCTTGCCTAGTTAAACAACAGCTTCCTCTTCTCCCCACCCCTGAGTGATCACATTGTCCAATTATGAGATGTCCTTTTGTTATGGGAACAATCCATCTCATTCTTGAGCACCTGCAGTGGTGACCTTGATGGTTGCCAAACTCTCACGATCTCCGCATACGTTCTCAGCATTTCATTTCCCCTCTTCCCTCCCCCCCTCAGTTCATTGGCAAGTTGAAAAGCATTAAGGTTTGAAAGAAACAAAGTGATTCAATCTTGACATACTGTGAGAGGGACCTTGGAATCCTAGTGAAGGATCACTTAAACATGAGTCAGCAGTGTATGTCAGCAACTAAAAAAGCTAATACAGTCCTTGGTTAAATAAACAGAAACATAGAATCAAAATGAAGTATTAGTACCGCTTTATAAAACCTTAGTAAGGCCACACTTGGAATACTGCATCCAGTTTTGGTCACCACATTACAAAAAAGATGTTGAGACTTTGGAAAAAGTGCAAAGAAGAGCAACTAAGATGATTAAAGGCCTGAAGACTAAAACATATGAAGAATGGTTGTAGGATTTGGATTTAACTAATCTAGAGAAAAGAAGGACTGGGGGGACATGATAGCAGTATTCCAGTATTTGAGAGGCTGCCACAAAGAGGAGAGGGTCAATTTATTTCCAAAGGCACCAGAGGGCAGGACAAGAAACAATGGATGGAAATTCATCAAAGAGAGAAGCAACCTGGAATTTAGGAGAAACTTCCTAACCATGAGGACAATTAACCAGTGGAACAGCTTGCCTTCAGAAGTTGTGGATTCTTCATCACTGGAGGTTTTTAAGAAGAGACTGGACGGTCACTTGTCTCAAATGGTATAGGGTCTCCTGCTTGAGCAGGGGGCTGGATTAGAAGATCTCCAAGATCCCTTCCAGGTCTATTCTGAATTTGCTTTCTATATTTCTGTAAATATTCCATCAGTTCCTGTAGTTATTCTGAGTTGATGGCTTGAGTGCACTTTTATACCTTCTAGTACTAGAGAATTGAATGTTTCCAAAACCCAATGTCGTATGTAATGAAAAATATATATTATACTTCTAGTGTACTATTATTTTAAAGTGGTTTCTCAACATATAATTACATTCAAGTTTGTCTTAAATATTTTGCATCAATTGTAGAACAATTTTATTCTCTGGAGAATCTAAGTTATAATATGGCAACTTCATTTCCTACCATATGGGTTTTATTGATGGTAGATGCTGAATGAATGAGAACAAATGAAAACAGAATTTGTGTGGTTTTTTCATGCATGTTTTATTTTTCAGAGATGTAAGTTAGTTTCATCATAATATCCAATAAAAAACAAAGAGTGGAAAATTAGTTATTGCTGAAGAGTATAAGCTAGCATTTGTGCTATTGAGTCAGTTTTTAATTCCTGGTGACTGCCTGGACAAATCCTTACAGTTTTCTTGGCAACATTGTTTAGAACTAATTTGCCATTGTCAGGTTCCTCAGGCTAAGGGAGAGTGACTGGTCCATGGTCACCCAACTGGCTTTGTGATCAAATGGGATAGAATTCTCAGTCTCCTGGTTTTAGACTGATACCTTAACCACCACATAACATTGGCTTTATCACTGAGGCACCACTTTTTTTAGAAAATTCCACACTTTTCATTAAAAAATATAATGTAGGAGTTTAGAGATAACTCCCAATTAAATATCTGTGTTTCTGCCATGAATTCGTTCAGAAGCTTCCCATTCTCCATAACTGTGCCATTTATAATATGATCATTCTGAAAGACAAAAATATATTGACAGAACTATGTATAGATAGTTGCTGCATGTAATTCATCACTGTGTAATTACTTTGCAGTGCATCTGGATTGGATCTGGATTCAGATATTTTTTTTCAGGAACCTATTTTTAAATGTACAGTGTATCTTGCTGAACAATTGTCTTCTTATTTCTTACAGAGCACCAGGGTAATAACCGAGAACAAAAAACTGTGAACCAAACTGTGGTAGCTCCCCCATTTCCCTCTTTTCCTGTGATCCACACTAAGAAGAAAAAAGAGACTAAGGACCATCACTTGCTAAAAGTAAGTTCTCCCTTGTCTTCTTAATGCATTTATGATGTGTTAGCACAGCTTGGGTTACTAGCAACTTATCCAGGCAAACATCTTTATCTTAAATGTCAACTAATAGGGGAAAAAATTGCCAGGAAATGCCAGGAGAAATAACATCTGCCAAGCCTCTGTTACATTGTTATTAAAAATATAAAGGTGAAGCCTAATTATCAGTAGATTACAAAATGAACAAGAATTATGTGGTACTCTTATCTCAATTTCCTGCTATGTTTTTTTTAAATCAAGCCACAATTTTTTTAAAAAAATGTTTACTCTTTATCTTGGTCTCACTATAAATTCTAAATTTAAATAAAAGACATTTTTTAGCAGATGGGTAATCATTTATGTCAGTCAGAAGAAGCCTATGCTAGGATATATGCATTTATTTCTGATAATAATTGTCAATAAAGCAATAACATGAGTAGTTCTATCGCAAAATATTCGTGCTGGTATATCAACTAGAGAAAATGCCATCAAACAATCTTTTATTTATTGATTGATTGATTGATTGATTAGTTTCTTCTAAACTATAATCCTTCAAGTGGGTGGTACTACAACTCAGAAGTCAAATTTATACTAAATATGGCAAAATAAAAATTGTAGTAGTAATACAGACCACAAGACACCATGTTAGAAAAGGCTGCTTTCATTACATTTCAAATTATATAAAAACTCACTGAAAGAAAGGGTCTTGTTACTCTAGGTAAGTATTTCTCAACCTTAACAACCTGAAGATGTTTGGGCTTCAACTCCCAGAATTCCCGGGAGTTGAAGCCCAAACATCTTTAAGTTGCCAAGGTTGAGAAACACTGACCTAGGTCATCCAAACTTTTCAAGCATCTACAAGAATGGAGGGGGTAGTGAGGTACCATGGGGTTTTGCTTTGTATCACATGACTGGGATATTTACATGAGGAAAGAGGGGAAATGAACTGTGCATCATGAAGTTGTGATGTAAATTCAAATCTCTTGTACTTGTATCACTGCACTGTAGAACCAGGTGCTCATTTTTTTTCATTCTAATGAAATTTCAGCTTGCTGTAGATAGCCCTATCTAATCAGCTGGCTCACTTTGCTTCTGGAGGGAAAGTTCTCTGTTCGGTTTTATAAAACTGTTGATGAAAAGCACTGGACACCATCCAAGATTAGATGGAGTACACATTTTTCTTGTCTCCTGGAATACCTTTTTCCTGCAAGTTGTTTGAAGGATAGCAGTTTTCAGCAATAAAAGATGTCCCCACCTTTGCCAGGTTTTAAAATGGTAAATGCAATGTCCCCTGGTTTTCGGTTTATCAGGTGACCTATTCCTTCACGTGGAATTTAATTTCTTCTGGCTGACAGTCTGAATTACATGCTTTCTCTTTGGCATACTGTACCCTCTTTCCCCCCCCCCCAAAAGAAATATGTACATCTCTTTCAAGAAAATAGAGCCAGCATATAACAATTATTTCCCCTCACTGATAACAAATTTTTGAATCAGAAAAAGAGTAACTGTGACATGTTTTGTTGTACATTTTCACAGGACTCACTTTCACTTACATTGTATAGCATCTAATTACAATAAGTGATTTAACACTGCATCTTCATATTCACATACTAGCAAGTTCAGCACATGTATACTAATGATTTTCATAATTTTAGAATAGGACCTTTTGGTAATATTAAAAAATTCCTTTATAAGTGGCTGTCCACCCTGTGCTTGAGTGAAGGGAAGCTATCATTTAATGAATGAACAATGTTGAACAATTTTTATTGTAGTTGAAGAAGGCTTTACATCTTTCCATAATATTCTCTTCTCAAACCATCTTTCATGCTGAAAGATGCTAAAACGTGTATCCCGTTTCGCAGCTCATTGATTGTTTCTTCTTTCTCCAAACTGGTACCCTCCAAATTTTTGAATTATCACTGCCATCATTCTCAGCCATCATGGCCAATTTCAATATTAAGTCAGACAATGTTATTACTGATGTTTCTACATCATCTGTAGAATGTTTCATGAATACTGTACATACAATATGAAACAAATTAATATAAAACAATAAGGACAACATTATGAAGAAAAATTAAAAGTTGTTTTAATGCTGCAGTGGGTTAACTAGCTCTTTATAAATTATACATGGTTCCATTTCATCAGAAGAAATTCCATGATTAAATTAATTGAGATTAATAGGCAAAAGTTGTTGATCTGATACTTCCCATACCCATTTCCATATTTGCTGTTGTTAGTTGTGAAGTCGTGTCCGACCCATCGCGACCCCATGGACAATGTTCCTCCAGGCTTTCCTGTCCGCTACCATCTTCTGGAGTCCATTTAAGGTTACACCTACTGCTTCAGTTCCATCCAGCCACCTCGTTCTCTGTCATCCCCTTCTTCTTTTGCCTTCAATCTTTCCCAGCATTAGGCTCTTCTCCAGTGAGTCCTTCCTTCTCATTAGGTGGACAAAGTATTTGAGTTTCATCTTCAGGCTCAGGCCTTCTAAAGAGCAGTCAGGGTTGATCTCCTCCAGGACTGACCGGTTTGATCGCCTTGAAGTCCAAGGAACTCGCAGGAGTCTTCTCCAGCACCATAGTTCAAAGGCCTCAATTCTTTGGCGTTCAGCCTTCCTATGGTCCAACTTTCACAGCCATACATTGCAACTGGGAAAACCAGTTTCTATATAGTATGACCTAAAACTCAGAAACCAGAGGAAATTGAATTAAATAATCAGTGAATGGTTTCCTGCTGTAAGGATGGTATTGTCAACTTTCAAAGAGCTTGCATGGGAAAAATCTACACCCATGATTTTTATGCCCATTAACATCCTCCATGTAGCTAACCACTCTGTCTTAAATATGCAGAAATTAAGCAGCATATTATAATTGATAAACAGGTTCTCATGATAAAAACTTTATAGATTTATATTATTTATTTCTCACAGGAACAGAATGCAATGAAGAAACTTTTTTAATGCTACACCATGCATTTCAGATGTACTTTGATCAAAAATCATAGAAACATTTGTTGTATGTGTTAATTTTTAATCATTTCCCTCTCCCTCCACATTTCATATTTATAGTTTTATAGAACCCGCTCGTCTTCCCCTACTGAGTGTTGCCACATGACCCCATGGAGTAAAAAGGTATTGGAAAATAACCGAATAAAACCTCCTCATACAATCTGTCCCTTTCACTCCCTAACTTTCTTTGCTACTCTTTTGGCTGACTAACTTTGTTGTCTTTATTTCATGCTCATATCAACGAAGACCATTAACTTTTTTTCATCCACCATACCAATTTGGTGTTAGGTTTAATAGCTGATGAGCAAATTTCTTTTTGTTGATTAGTTTTAAATGCCTGAACTAAATTTGTATATAGCTGGGAAAAAATAGATGGCGATCTTGGAAAACTACAAGAATGTATCCAATGATATTAATGCTACAGCATGGACCTAGTCAAAGGACTGTTATCACTGCTATTGTTTGCTGAAGAGCAACCCTGGCAGACCGTCAGAGATTGTAGTCAGGTCATTTCACTCTCTTTGTCCAAAAGACATTGTTATGCAGGCGAGGTATTGGTCACAAAATGCAAGCTAATGCAAGCTATAGGGGACTTTTTTTTTGCATGCACCAACTTTTTAGCTCAGAGGTTACCTAGGAAACAAAGTCTTTTGTGCTTGTAGTTTATATGAACTATTCATGGCTGCTATGAACAGCACAAAAGCTGGAAAGAAAGAAAATGGCAATGTTTTCCTAACCTAGAGATGGACAGAAATATCTTCTAAGAAGACGGGGCCCTTTTACATTTTTATGTATAATATTACAGGCATTGCTGGCAAGGTAAGAACGTAGCTTGATATAAATTGGATAAATCACTGTGAACTATAGCCTTCAGCATAGATGTTGGGGGTTAAGAATGATTGTAAGTCTATTTTGTGCCTTCAGTAGGAGTGTTGAGCAGCATATTTTTGACAAAAATAAAGTTAACTTGATTGTGGGTCTTAGTTATAAAAAATAAAAATATTTAAATGCTCTGATAGACTTAAAAAATGCAAAAAATTAAATCTTGTCCCTTTAACAAAAACTAAAAGAATGAAATGCTTCCGAATAAGCAAAAGGGCAAAATATCAAGTAGTCATCAGAACTGACACTGAAAATTGAACTTAGGTAATAGACAGACTTCAGGATGACTTCTTCCAGTCTCTAGAGTATGATGATTGATTAAATGAAAAATATGCACTTTAAAAAATGGGAAAAGCTGTATTTATCATTCAAGAAACCATCATTTTTTAGTTCTCTAGATATTGTCTAGATTGTTCTATTGTTTTACTTGCACATAGTAAAGCAACAAAGCACAACAGTCCTTTCTTTCTTTCTTTCTTTCTTTCTTTCTTTCTTTCCTTCCTTCCTTCCTTCCTTCCTTCCTTCCTTCCTTCCTTCCTTCCTTCCTTCCTTCCTTCTTATTCTACTCTTTGAGGTAGTTGGTATCTTACTTCTTTATCTTTTGTCCCTTGTTTAAATTATTTGTTCTGAATTACCACTAGCTGTTAGATATTCTAAAGATCCTGGTTCAAACTTTGCTTCTCAATTTTTCTTTTGATATCCAGTCTTTATTATTAGATGGCTGTGTTCACATGACATATTTAATCTGGTGACCAAAACCCCATTTTCTGGTTTAACACTGTATTATGGACAATAAATTAATCAAATGAACCAGGTTTGTATTTCGTAGCAACTAACACCAACCCAGAGTTAACATTATTTAAGCTCAGGTTCTGTGATTGCAACTACCAGATCTTAACTTGACATGGTTAAGTATGTCATATGGACAGAGTGAATGCAACACCTTTGACTGACTTTAAATCCATAGCTCAGTATTCCTATGTTTAAATTCTGTTAATTTCAGAGAGACCTTACTTTGAAGTAAAATCAGGTATTTTAAAAATACAAAATATGTATTTCTTTCAAAATATATAGAGCATGAGATCAGTTCATAAGGCCATGCTGAAGTTCTACTGAAATCAATGCTGCAGGTTGTCAATCATATGTAAATTGTTCATTTCTAAGTCTATATGCAAACAACATGAAAGAAAGTTCTTCTAAGTTCCAAGGAACTTCCTTCCTTTTTTTTTACTTCCAGTTCTTACTATTTTTTTGTTTATGCATGGATGCTAATTTTGATTGTATTTATTTACAGTCCCACCATCCTTCGGAGGAAGAAGATACAGATATCATGTTAGGGCAGAGGCTGAAAAATCCAATACATAATATACCTTCTACACTGGATAAACAAACAAATTGGAGCAAAGCACTACCCCTCCCAACTCCAGAGGAGAAAATGAAACAAGATGCCCAAGTGATTTCCTCTTGTATTATCCCCATCAACGTCACTGGTACAAATCTTTTGTCCTTTTTTTTGTTGTGGTTGATTTGAAGGAGTTTTAATCACTTATTTTATTGCAGTAAATATTTCTCTAAATATAGATTTTTACAATTAACAAATGTATTTATACATTTTATTGACACACACACCCCATTTTAGCATAGGGTAACATTTGGCAACTTACAATCATAAAAATGTATCTATACATATACATTATATACATACATACCCGTGTTTCTCCAAAAATAAGACCTGGTCTTATTTTCTTTTGTGCCTCAAAGACATCTTTATTGTCTGTGAGCCAGGGGTCTGCTGGTAGTGCAGCTTTCAGCGTCGCTGTCAATTTGTCCCAGCTGGGGTTGGGTGGCCACCTAGTCTGGCAAACCAGGTCTTATTTTCAGAGGATGTCTTATCTGCTTACCTTAGGACCACTGTGTTGTGATCCAGGCCCAAGTAGGTAGTAATCGACGCAAGCAGTTCCAAAACAAGCAGACTTTATTAGAACAGCTGAGAATTAACTCATTCTCAGCGTAGTCCAAACTAAATTAAAACAAACTCTTCATAACACAAATTCTTCAGTCTAATCACCAACCTTGGTATAATTAGGCAAACTGCCAAAGGCTTCTCTTGGCAAAAGTTCAAAAGCAGAAGAGAAAAGTGCAACAATACTATCAACGTTGTTTTCCAACAAAGAGCCCAAGAGCCGTTGCTGGTCTTTTAAGCCTTATGGGAGGGGCCAATCATCTCTTGGCCCTGCTCCCGAGTCGTCCTCTTCGCTTTAGCTGCTCTTGCCTTCTGGCAGCTCTTCTCATATGTGCACTAGGAACAGGGTCCTCCTGTTCCTCTGCCTCTCTACTGTCAGCCTCTGGAGGCTCCGGAGTCCGCACATCACTCCCTGATGGCCCTGGCCCCATCTCTGCCTCCAATGCAGAGCCCTCATCTGGGCCTTCCCCAGCCTCCAGGACTGGCCCATTTTCTTCCTCAGCCTCATCGCTGTCCGACTCCACTGCCAGCTCTGCAGGCTGCTGGCGAACCACAACACACTGCAGCCAGGGCTCCCATGCCCCGACACCTGTTGCGCTGCTACCTGACTTTTTCTGCAGCCACTCACAGCTGCTCATGGACAGACGCCACATGGCACATTGTGCCAGTGTGACTTCTTGTGGCAGGATGCCGCATACTCGCAGGAGGCCATGTGGCACATTGCACCAGTGCCACTGCTCACATCAGGAGGCTGCATAGTGTGTTGTGCCATTGAGCGAGCATGTGAGCTGCGGCACCAGCACAATGCACCATGTGGCATCCGGCCATCCGGCTACAGTAGAAGTCGGGCAGTGGCACTAAAGAGGCATGGGAGGCCTGGCTGCAGCAGTCCTAAGGTAAGCTGGTGCAGGGCACATAGAGGAGCTCCACCCCCCACCCCTGCCCTAGCTTAATTTTTACGCATGTGCCTCACCCCACCTGATACAACCAGACAGTGGGAAGTAGTGAGTGGAGTTTTAACTAGGGCTTATTTTTGAATAGGGCTTAATTAGGTGCACACATAAAAATCAAGCTAGGGCTTATTTTCAGAGTAGCTCCTAATTTTGAGGAAACACAGTATACATTAAGACGTAAATAAATTAAAACCAAACATTAAAATTTAAGGACATGTGCTGGGGATGGAATGAGGGGAGGTGGGATCTGTTGTTAATCAACCATCTCCATTGTGCTATTCCCCCAAGCCAACTAGCAGAGCCATGACTTTAGGCCTTTACGAAAGAATAGGAGGATATATATAAGTATAAGATTTCTTTATTTTTATTTTTTTGATATCTTTAACATCTATTAAGATAGTAATGAGCCCCATTAAATTCAATGAGAAAGACTTCACATTAAATTTCTGTATTGTGATTATCCATGGACATTGATGCTGATGCTGCTATAATTGGATTAGAAAGGCATAGTTGAATTCAGCAGCCTTTTACACTACATGATAATCATGTTTGTTATGTGCTGTAATAAAACAATGCAATATTTCTCACCAACAGCATACGGTATGAGTCATAAGTGCTATAGCAAATTAATAGCATTTTAATATTTGCTTCAATGCCTTTCATAATTTTTTTATTTTATTTTTTTATTTTTATTAAATTTGTATACCGCCCTTCTCCTGCTGGACTCAGGGCAGTGCACAGCCAAAATAAAAAACATCCCAATACAAAATTTAAAATTTGTTAAAAGAATTACACAACTTTGGCCCAAAATTTAAAACATCCCAACTAAAACCCATAGACAATTAAAAATCTAACATCTCAAAAGGGATTACGCCAGCCCTGCTTGGTGGAAAAGAAAAGTTTTTAGGACACGGTGAAAAGCCTGGAGATCTGGTATCATGCGTATCTCCAGGGGCAAATCGTTCCAGAGGGCAGGTGCTGCCACAGAGAAGGCCCTCCCTTGGGGGTCGCCAGCCGACACTGCCTGGCTGATGGCACCCTGAGGAGTCCCTCTCTGTGGGAGCGTACTGGCCGGTGGGAGGCTATCAGCGGCAGAAGGCGGTCTCGCAAATACCCAGGCCCTATGCCATGGAGCACTTTAAAGGTGGTAACCAACACCTTGAAGCGCACCCGGAAGACCACTGGAAACCAATGCAGCTCATGCAGGAGAGGCATCACATGGGAGCGCCCCCTCGCTCCCATAATCCCCCACATGGTCACATTCTGCACCAGTTGGAGCCTCCGGGTGCTCCTCAAGGGGAGCCCCATGTAGAGAGCATTGCAGTAATCCAGGCAGGAGTGCCTGAATGACTGTGCGTAAGGAACCCCGAACCAGAAAGGGACGCAGCTGGCGAATCAGGCGAACCTGATGAAAAGCCCCCCTGGCCACAGCCGTCACATGCTCTTCTAAAGACAGCCATGCATCCAGGAGGACGCCCAAGTTGCGAGCCCTCTCCGTGGGGGCCAATAACTTGCCCCCAATAGCCAGTGATGGCACCAGCTGCCTATATCGGGATGCCGGAAGCCACAGCCCCTCGGTCTTGGAAGGGTTGAGTCGAAGCCTGTTACTCCCCATCCAGATCTGCATGGCCTCCAGGCACCAGGATATTACTTCAAGGGCATCGTTCGGATGGCCTGGGGTGGAGATGTACAGCTGAGTATCGTCAGCATACTGATGGAACTCCACCCCAAAGCCACGGATGATCTCGCCCAGCGGCTTCATATAAATGTTGAACAGAAGGGGTGAGAGGACCAACCCCTGTGGCACCCCACAAACAAGGCACCTCGGGGTCGACCTCTGCCCCCTGCCAACACCGACTGCGTCCGATCAGAGAGATAGGAGAACCACCGCAGAACGGTGCCCCCCCTCCCAACCCCTCCAACCGGCGCAGCATGATACCATGGTCGATGGTATCAAAAGCTGCTGAGAGATCTAACAGGACCAGGATAGAGGAACAACGCCTATCCTGAGCCCTCCAGAGATCATCCACCAATGCGACCAATGCCATTTCCGTGCTGTGCCCAGGCCTGAAGCTGGACTGCAGCGGATCCAGATAGACAATTTCATCCAGGTACCCAGGAAGCTGTCGCGCCACCCCACTCTCAACAACCTTTGCCACAAAGGGAAGGTTGGAGACCGGACGGTAGTTAGCCAAAACAGCTGGATCCAGAGCAGACTTCTTGAGGAGGAGCCTCACCACTGCCTCTTTCAAGGTGGGTGGCAAGACACCTTCACTCAAGGAAGCATTGATAATCCCCTGGAGCCAGCTTCGTGTAACCTCCCGGGAGGCCAGCACCAACCAGGAGGGACACGGGTCCAATAAACATGTGGTCGCGTTCAGCCGCCCCAGTATCCTGTCCACGTCCTCGGGAACAACAGGGTCGAACTCCTCCCAAATGACATTCTCAAGACCGGCCTCCATCATCCCGTCTGTACCTACCCAGTCAGAGACCAAGCCTTCCCGAATCTGAGTGATTTTATCGTGCAGATAGTGAACAAAATCCTCTGCGCGACCCTGCAAGGGATCCTCCCGCACTCCCAGATGGAGGAGGGAGCGGGTCACCCTAAAAAGGGCGGCCGGGCAGTTATCTGCTGATGCAATAAGAGCGGAAAAATAGTTAGATTTTGCCGCTTTTATTGCCACAAGGTAGGTCTTAATATGAGACCTCACCCGTGTTTGGTCGGATTCGGAGCGACTAGACTTCCAACTGCTCTCTAGGCGTCTTTTCTGGCGCTTCATCTCCCTCAGCTCCTCAGAGAACCAAGGACCCAGGTAAACTCGGCAACGGGTCAGAGGCCGCAAAGGCACGACTCGGTCCAAAGCATCAATGGCCACTCTATCCCAGGCGGCCACCAGCTCTTCAGCCGAGTCATGAGTCAGAGCCTCAGGAAATGGCCCAAGCTCCATCTGGAACCTATCAGGATCCATCAGGCGCTTGGGGCAGAACCATCTGGTCTGTTCCGCCTCCCTGCGGTGGGGTATGGTGGTTAGAAAATCAAGCCTAAGGAGGGAATGATCCGACCATGACAAGGGCTCAATCGCTACCGCCCCATCTCAAGATCATTCATCCACTGCCCAGAGACAAAAATCAAGTCCAGAGTGTGTCCTCCCGTGTGAGTGGGTCCATGAATTAATTGGGTCAGGTCCATGGCCGTCATGGAAGCCATGAACTCCCGGGCCACCTCAGACGCTTCACCGACAGATGGCAAGTTGAAGTCCCCCATGACCATAAGCCTGGGGGTCTCCACTGCCACCTCGGCAATCATGTTGAGTAGCTCGGGCAGGGCAGCCGACACGTGGCAGGGAGCCAGGTACATAATCAGCAAGCCCATCTGCCTCCTTTGTCCCCACTTCACCAGGAGGGACTCACATCCAGCTATCTGAGGTACAGTGGCCTCACTTGAAATGAGACCTTCCTTTACAAGAACTGCCACCCCCCCGCCCCGCCCCGGGACCTCGGCTGATGGAATGCATAGAAACCCGGTGGGCACATCTTAACGAGGGGGACCCCCCATCCTGGCCCAACCAGGTCT